CAATGTCGTCCTCCAGTTGAGTGAGGTCTTCATAATGGGTCAGATTTGCCGGCATGTAATATTCATTGCCCGCTAGTGTCACCAACGTGATGACAATGGCATACCGGTCATGATCACGCGGCATTATCCCTGGTTGTTGCTGGCTCAACATGTCTACTCTGTCTGCTTGAGCCGAATAATTGCGCAAACATATGTTCCCTCGCGCCTGTGACGCCGGAGTCAGCATCGGACTCGTCAAGGCGAGTATCCATTGGGGGGTGCCTGGCCTCTGCGAGGTCCATCCAAAGAGGGACTTCTAGGCGCAACTTGAGCTGCGGGAAAGATGGGAACGACATGGACTGCCCCAAGGAGGGGTCGAGTGCTCTTTTTTTTCCACGAGCGCGGACGCCATGTGGGCGGTGTGCCCAGGTCATCGTAGAAGGAAAGGAAACACTGCATATTGAAGGGGGAAGCAAAACAAAGCCACCAGCACCAAAACACCCAACAGAAACCCAAAGCCAAGCCCAAAACAACCACAAAAACCACCAAAACGGACCCCCATGAGCTGAAACAGGTGAGAAAGACGAGCTGCAAAATATCTAAGGGCCTGAATTCTCTACGAAAGGCGAAATGCTTCTGGTCGTGGGTGCTTGCACGGATCGGCCAATCAAAAGTGGCCACACTCCATTGGCAAGGATGAGGTCATACAAGCCATTTGTATGATTGGCACTCTGTGTAGTTTGACATCGTGCGGAGTACCAAGTGCAAAGTAAGCAGTTGCCAGATGACTACGGCCAAAGAGTCATCGGTTGCAAAGCATGGCAAGACGTGGAAAATTCCCTCTCCGTGGCACAATCCATACAACTGATTGCACATACGAAAAGCAGTGGCTTATCTTGAGTGTGGAAGTGGAAGGCATCGCAACGAAAGGACTGCTCACGACATGCTGATTTCCCTCCCACAAGGGAGGCACAGCACACCCCCAATGGCTCCGATGCGTTAGCCAAAGGGGTTATGGGGGTTGTTCACTCATCCATCAGATAGTGAGCATTGAGATCACTATCCTTCAACACGCATGGCCCATGTGAAACAGGTGAAACAAAGACCTATCCTAGCATGGTCCTTATGCCATCTTTGTACAAGATTGGCTGTGGTTCGGCTCCCGCAGATGAGCAACTAAGGTTCTCCCTGGGCGCCATCCATCAACCGCTCTGCTACCACCCGCCTACCATGGACGAAGAGCTAAGGCTCCCATCCCGGTAGGCTCACAAAATTGCAGGCGATGAAGGCAAGAATGACGACTCTATCTGCTTTTTGGAGCCTGACTTACACTCGAACAGTAGGAGAAGTATGCCTTACGCTAAGCCGGGCGCGCAACCACTGTCAGGGATCATGTGCAACCACGGCGGCCATCTCATGGCTGGGCAAATGGCAAAAGCATTTTCTTCTGCGTATTCCCCTCCATTTACGCTGGCCTGGGAGTTTGACGAGCCTACGGAGTGAAGTGCAGTCCAGAAAGGCTCTACTGGCAATGTAGTGCAGTGTGGGCGGTATGGCTAGGTCCGGCAATGCAGCACAGTTCATGAAGGCTTTTACTCTTATGGTATGGAGCGTGTATGGTAGTCTGACTTCACCAAGGCCAGTGCAGTGCGCAAATGTAAATTCCTGTATTTCTTCGATCTTTGTGTTCGAAAGGTCGACTTTCTTCAACAATTGACAGTTGTCACATGCATGCGCTCCCAACACTTGGAAGTCCCGCGTGAGTTCAAGCGTACCAATCCCTGTGGAACTGAGGCATCCTTGTGACAGCTCCCTGGCACGCATTCGAGCTGGCAACTCTTGTGGATGAGCAGCCTCTCGCAGGATAAAGGTGGCCAAGTTGATGCAATCTCTAAAGAGATAGTGCCCAAGTTTGGTGGAACTACAAAATTGATTCGCTACGCCCTCAATAGCATAGACCCACTGTAGGGAGCTGCATTCAGCAAAGGCTTTATAGCCAGACTCCACGCAGCCAGGCGCTGTGACGCTGTTGAGTAGCTGGCACCCTCGAAATGTGTTGTCTGCTATTCTTACCACCGAAGCTGGCATTCTAACAATTCATAGCTGTCGACAACACTGCCATGCCTCTGCACCCACAACCCTAATACCTGCTTCTACGCTAACGCGACGCAGCCGCGGCACCGCTGCGAAAGCGCCCTCAGGGACCATCTCCTCTGGATTCATGGGGACATGGACTGCGAGGGGAATGTCTCGGAATGGACACCCTTCGAAGGTCTCCTTTGAGGGAAGGACTTCACTGCAGCTGCGAAACACCATGGTGTATTCTGTGCTTTGTTGCAATTTTTCCCAGATTGGATTTTCTAAGTAGGTATGCGTGTCAGCTTGCAAGAAGTCGACTGTACATCCAAAGACCTTCAGGTCAGTCACTGAGGCGAGGTAATCGACCACATGATCTTCGAGGTCTTCAAATTTATCAAATTTGGCGACACTCATAGAGATGTTCACGACATTGCCGGACAGGGCATGAAGTACCAGACGACACTCCACAACCGGTTCACGTTCTCGAGGAGAGCTAGCCTCGGAGGAGGGAGGAGTCGCCATGTGCGAACTACTGGAGAGAGTCACTGAGTGAGCCAAAAGACAACTTATCATGACCTTCGTGGCAAGTACATGTTGTCATCTTTGGTTACTCAGGGCATAGGAACATGGCTTCTCCAGCCGAAGGGCTGCTTGTCTCTGAAATGGAATTCCTCTGAGCGTGAATCCTTTGACCCAGGGCAAGTGCTAAGGCACCCCCCCCCGCCATTTAGCCTATCCCTGAAGTTTGACTGACGAACAAGCCGGTGGCGGGGTGTGTGACATGAGCAAAAAGCAGGCACCAGGTCGGGCGGGGTAGGGGTACCTTGCTCAGGACAAGCGCTAAGGCACCCACCCTCGATCACTGCCTTACAGGCGGACCAGGGTAACTAATCAGGGGGGTTCAGTATGGAGCTCTTCATCAAAAGCATCTGAGTCCGGATCCCCCAGTGGGAGCAGTTCTACCCGAGACGCTCTTTCGAAGTTATCACACATCAGGAAAGCGTTATTTTCTGCTTGGATGGTTCTTTCAAAATCTCCGCAGTCTAGGAGTGTGAAGAGCGCTAGTTGCTCACACCCGCAGAAGGCTCGAATGCCTATAGGTATCGTAGTTCTGTTGGGATAACAAGCTCACGAAGCGATGTACAACAAAGGAAGGCTTCCTTGCCAATTCGTTGCAGCTTTGGCGGTAGCCATATGTCAGCCAAGGCAACACAATGTGCGAAGGTGGATTTCCAGATGGCCGTGATTTCCGTGCACATGAGGTTAACCTCCACTAGTCGCTTGCAGTTTTCACAGGCCTTACGCCAATGTTGCGAAAGTCGCACGGAAGGCAGAGGCTCTCGATGCCAGCTCCGCAAAAACTGCCATCTGGCAGCGTTCTAGACCTATTGGTTTGGTCCATCACGAAGTTAATCGACGTAAGCATAAGGCAACTTTCGAAAGCAAAGGGGCCCAGCTGTGCCCCGGGTGCCAGATCATTGGTGGTCTCGATGTCGCTGCCAATGCCCACTCTATAGAGCGAGCAGCACTCGGCAAAAACTCCTCGGCTGAACTGAACACACCCTGGGGCTTCGACCTCCTTAAGGACATAGCAGCCTTGGAAAACTCCATCCTCAAGGCTGACGACCGAAAGTGGTAGCTTTACTATCTGCAGCTGTTGGCAGCTTTGCCAAGCAGCAAAACCAATGTGCTTCATCCCCGCCGCCACTTCTACATGTCGGAGCATCGGCGCTGCATAGAAGGCTCTATCTGCTACTTCTTTGCGAGCATTGATGGGGACTCGAACTGCTTTGGGATATCCCTCCCTGTCGCTATCTTGGAATTGCCAAACCGAATGCTTGTTTCGCTGCAGTAGGGCGGTACGGAAGTCCTCTGACAGCGGTAGTTGGGTATCCGGCTCGAAGAGGTCAGCCTCACAGCCAAATACCTCAATGTCCGACACGGTTGGCAGCAAACTGACAATCCAGGAGGGCTGGTCATGGCAAAAAGACGGTCAGGCGATCAATTTATTTTGGTCATAGGGACTTGGGTCCCCTGCCTCACCCATGATTTTGGTCAGATGGGCCATCTAGGGATCCCAGGGTGGGTTGGGAGGGAAGGCCATACGGTTTAAAGCCTTGTTTGGCCAGAATCTGTGCGTTAAAGTTCTTCGACCCCATCTTGCCAATAGTTTGGCCCGAGCATCAATGACATAGTAGGTATGCTACAAGTACATCTGCAGCTTGCAGGTGTGGTTTCTAGAGCTGCTGCCACGGAGACACATGTTAAGGTTTTGCAAAAAATGTTTATTTAAGTGGATTGGATTGAGATGTCTAGAATTGTCGCGATTACGTGAGCACTTCCTCAGTTTTTAAAGCAACTTCCACCAACGTTGCATATATTAATTTGAACTATATGTGTCTATCTCGCACGCACGTATATGCGCATGTTGCAAAAACAAGCGTGCAGAAGCATGTCATGGCATTTGCAGGTCACGAAGGGGCACAGTGGGATGTTGCATCCACTACCCCCCATGATAGTAGACCATGGATGCAAGCACTGCACTGATGCATGTTCATACATCATGGCGTCGCAAACGCAGTCAGTATAATGCCATTTTTCTTTTGGCATGATGGTAGGCTTGGCGCCCGAATTCAACACCAAGCTCTGCAATCCATGCCACCAACATGCCACCAACATTCAAATCAACATGCGCACGAACATGCGTGACAGTAAACGATGACCACGCGGACATTACATTGCGCAAATTAATATCAAATGCCATCACACATGGCAAGTACTGAATGGCTGCTAGCATCGCATTTTCCCCATGAGCCAAGCGTTGGTTTGCAGAAGCAACCGCTCAAGCACACGACGAGCCATCGTGCTCGGATGGCACGCGTGTTTCCCCACCGAACAACAGCGACCCACGAAATCCTCGTCGTTGAAACATGAGTGAAAACGGGGGTTCACTCGCGAGCCATCACGGATTTTGAGCAGGGTCTCGCAATGCAAAGCGTGGACCTTTGGTCGCACCTTGTATCGTGGAACACACCGGGCCAATGCACGCTCAGCCAGAACCATGTAGGTCTGTAAGTACAAAAGCCCGGCGGAAACTACACGGTCGGCCTCCTCTTCGTTCAAGAAGAGTTTGCAGCTGTCCAGCAACGTGCCGAAATGATGCAGCGCCCAGGCGCACACCGCCTGGTGGTAAAGCTTCGCCACACCAGCCTGCGCACACTCCTAAGATCGTTGCAAGTTCGAACATATGATGGACAAACATTCGTGGCAAAACTACAGCGATAACGGTTCTTGGACACGGAACGCAATGATTGCGCTGAGACTCACTCAGCTGGTCAGCTAGGTATGCCATCCTGCAACATGTTGAAAAACCAGGTTTCCATATGGCGGCTTCAATGTGAAATCATCTCTGGCACAGAGTGGGTCCAAAACAAAGCCAAGGCGCAAAATTCTGTTGGTGAAGCCGTGACTAGGCCCTGACGGGTAGTCTAAGGATATCGCGGACACCGAGAGCTTCACCAAGCCTCAGGTTTTCAAACGCAATCCTCCTCGTAGACACAACGACATCGCGGTTGTTTTGTAATGCGTGGGAAGGAACTGAAGTCATCTATCAATGAGGGCGTCAATCTATGTTGGCGACACCAGTCACGAGCGCTGAGCGTCACTGCTTGCAGGCGTTCATCCCAAGTTTCAAACTGGATAAACGCTGGCCCAAATTCGGCCAAATCCATCATCAAAGAGCCGACTGCATCTTTGGCAACTCCGGTCCAAACCGTGTGCAAAAGATCCGGGACCTCCATGCTTTGATCCCATCCACAAAGACGTCGAAGCGGAATGTTTTGGCCACAACCTTGGACGTCGGCTCCGGCTGACTCGTATACGGGGTGTTTGTGAAAAATTGCTTAGTTTTGTTTCAATACCTAATCCAAAATAGACATGCTTTCGACCTTCAAAAAGTGTGGCTACAAAAATCAGAGCTAGGAACTTGTTTGGGCAGCATCACGGAGGTCTGCAGCGTTGTTGAATCGCTCGTGCTGAATATCTAACCAGGGTTTCCCAGCTGACCCAGCAAAGCAGCGTCTACAAATGAGACCTTCTCCAGCGCTGGTTTTGGCAGCTTTGCCGTAGTGACGGGATTCTTGCAGCCATTCCCGTTTCCATTTCCAATCCCCCTTTCCAGCCACATAGACCAAGTTGAGCGGACAGGGATTCTCCGAGATGCAACGGTTCAAGCTCCTGTTTACGATTGAGCGTCATAGAAAAAGTAACAACGCATTTTTTCCACTTGCGACAGTGCTTCTGTAAGTTTTAATGAGTCCTGACAAGTTCATTTTGCAGCGCTTCTAGAGTAATGTTGTGGCCATCCTTGTAGGCATAGTTGCACGCCCGCATTACCTAAATTCATAAGTTTGGACTAGGTGCAATTCCAATGTTCCAAAATTTTCAAGAGCAGAACTCGAAACAAAACCCTCTCAAGCTTTGTACCTAGTAACTGCAAATGGAAACCTGCACTGGCTGGTTTTGCCGCCAATACCCATAGCCGACCAGCTAATCACAAGCACACTCTTGGATGATTTTCCTTGGCCTTCATCGCCGTGTAGCATGATGCCAGCGCTGGCAGCCTTCGCAGCGTCTGGAAGCTGGTGCACTGGATGCGTCCTTGGATCTATGTGGGCTTGATACTTGGAGCAGTTGGGTCCACGACTTGGATGGGGTATGGGTTTTAGAGGACAGTGCACAGTAATGTCAACACCTTTCAACTTTCACCAGCGAAAGGCCCAAGTGTCATGCCCCAAGGTTCTCTTTTTGCACCTTCCCAGAACCAGAGCCAGTCCATATCGCCTTTCCTTGGATTTTAAATTACACCACCGTAGACCCCAAACAGTTTGTGTTTTTCAAAATCGAAACTAGAGCTTGCGACGTCCAGAGCTGGGACACAAATGTAAAGGATTGCAAGGCGGAGACGGACACAGCAATACACTACATGGCCAACGGAAAAGGGCGGACAGCAGCAGTAACGAAACAGTTAAACTAGAGCTTGCGACGTCCAGAGCTGGGAGACAAATGTAAAGGATTGCAAGGCAGAGACGGACACAGCAGTACAGAGCGGGCGGACACATCTTAAGAAAGAATTAAGAAGCCCTAACAGTAAACCTTTTGGGAAATTATTCTTCAAGTGCGAACATGATGCTGGTCATGCTGCTCAATCAGCGGGCAGCTGACCACGTGAGGACAAGAAATAAAAGCATGAGGAGCGAAGGATGTGACATAAAATTGAGTTTTGGTGCCTGACGTATGCCCTCCGTCCCAATTGAACAGAGAGATCGCTGCCACGCCGCCGAAATCCAATCCGGTCATTCATCCAACGCTTGCCCGAAAAGGAAAACAAAGCTGAGAGAGTTACACAGTGTGGCAGCAATGCATTTCCGGAGACAATCACGCACCCCTTTCAAAGGAGCAAGAACCTTTCACACGCGAACCAGCGGACAGGGCAGAAAACAGCAGTGCAGGCACCAAACCTAAAAGACAAAAAGAAAGAAGTCACATGGGAGATAAATGAATAGAAATGCTACATGGCCAGCGGAAAAGGGCGGCAGCACCAATGACAGACCCGGGAAACAAATGAATAGAAATGCTGCATGGCCAACGGAAAAGGGCGGACGCAGTGACAGACCTGTCACCTAGACACAAGGCAAGGTGGGATCCGTCGATTCCGTGCCACGTGCGCCGATCGGCGTGTCTCTGCAGGAGAGGATGGCATCTGCCCTCTTGAGCTGCATGTTCCTCATTGTCTGGGTCACGATCAGAGACAGAAAGGACTTCAGGCGGCGGACTTTGCTGAGGCCAGTAGCAGCCATGCGCTAAAAGGCCTGGTCGCGATGGCAGGATGAGATCAGAGCCAATGGCATCCAAGACCGGCTGCGCTCTCCATGCATCATAGAAGTACACACGGTGGAAAACAAATGAATAGAAATGTTGCATCGCCAGCGGAAAAAGGGCGGACACCAACAGTGACAGACCTGGGAGACTAATGAATAGAAACGCTGAAAAGGGCGGACACCAGCAGTGACAGACCTGGGGGACAAATGAATGGAAGTGCTACATGGCCAACGGAAAAGGGCGGACAGCAGCAGTAACGGACTTGGGAAACAAATGAATGCTACATGGCACCAGCAATGACGGACCTGGCAGACAAATGAATAGAAATGCTTCATGGCCAATACACAAGGACACACCGGTGACAGACCTGCAAGACAAAAGAATAGAAATGCTGCATGGCCAACGGACAAGGGCGGACACCAGCAGTGACAGACCTGGGACATGAATAGAAATGCTGCATGGCCAGCGGAAATGGGCAGAAATTAGCAGTGACAGACATGGGAGACAAAAGAAGCGGGAGACAAATAAAAGGAAATGGGAGACACATGCAAGGAAGTGGGAAATAAACCGGGAGACAAATGAAAAGAAGTGGGAGACACATTCAAGGAAGTGGGAGACAAGCCGGCCTGGAATCCGAGCACAAGCACCGAGAATGAAAGGAAGTGGGAGACAAGCCAGCCGGGAACCCGACCACAAGCAGACCACAAGCAGAGAGACAAATGAAAAGAAGTGGGAGACAAGCCAGCCGGGAACCCCACCACAAGCACCCAGCCTGAGAGACAAATGAAAAGAAGTGGGAGACAAACAAGCACCCAGCCTGAGAGACAAGTTAAAGAACTGGGAGACAAGTGAAAAGAAGTGGGAGACAAATGAAAGGGAGTGGGAGACAAGCCAGCCGGGAACCCGACCACAAGCACCCAGTTTGGGGGGAAACAAATGAAAAGAATTGGGAGACAAATGAAAGGAAGTGGGAGACAAGCTGGCCGGGAACCCAACCAGACCATCCAGCACCACCAAGGCGACCATTCTTTAAAGCATTGAGAACCCCTGACAGTAAATTGTTTGGGGAATGAATAGAAATGCTGCATGGCCAGCGGAAAAGGGCGGACACCAGCAGTGACAGACCTGGAAAATACATGAATAGAAATGTTGCACAGTGACAGACCTGGGAGACTAATGAATAGAAATGCTGCATGGCCAACGGAAAAGCTGCATTGCCTGCGGAAAAGGGCAGACACCAGCAGTGACAGACCTGGGAGACAAATGGATAGAATGCTACATGGCCAACGGAAAAGGACGGACACCAAGCGAATAGAAATGCTTCATGGCCAACGGACAAGGGCGGACACCACCAGTGACAGACCTGAAAAACAAATGAATAGAAATGCTACATGGCACCAGCAGTGACGGACCTGGGAGACAAATGAATAGAAATGCTTCATGGCCCTGAGGACTAGACATCGTAATAGCACTGCTGACGGAGACAGGCGTCTCTGATTCACCCGCCTCAGTGGCATCAGCCTCTTCCGTGGCATCCGACTGCAGGGCCTCCGTCATGCGCGGACCAGTAATAGCCCTCACGGAGGAGGCCAAGAAACGCACCCGACCACACCGAGCCTGGGAGACAAATGAAAAGAACTGGGAGACAAATGAAAAGAAGTGGGAAACAAATGAAAGGAAGTGGGAGACAAGCCAGCCGGGAACCTGACCAGACCATCCAGGATCAAGGAAGTGGGAGCAACCCGACCACAAGCACCGAGCCTGGGAGACAAATGAAAAGAATTGGGAGATAAATGAAAAGAAGTGGAAGACAAATGAAAGGAAGTGGGAGACAAGCCAGCCGGGAACCCGACCAGACCATCCAACACCAAGGCGACCATTCTTTAAAGCATTGAGAACCCCTAACAGTAAACTGTTTGGGGAAGAACTGGGAGACAAATGAAAGAAGTGGGAGACAAATGAAAGCACGTGGGAGACAAGCCAGCCGCAAACCCGACCACAAGACCCAGCCGGACAAATGAAAAGAAGTGCGAGACAAATGAAAGGAAGTGGGAGACAAGCCAGCCGGGAACCGGACCACAAGCGCCCAGCCTGGGAGACAAATGAAAAGAAGTGGGAGACATATGACAGGAAGTGGGAAAAGAACTGGGAGACAAATGAAAAGAAGTGGGAGACAAATGAAAGGAAGTGGGAGACAAGCCAGCCGCGAACCCGACCACAAGCACCGAGCTTGGGAGACAAATGAAAAGAACTGGGAGACAAATTAAAGGAAGTGGGAGACAAGCCGGCCGGACCCGACCAGACCATCCAGCACCAAGGTGACCATTCTTTAAAGCATTGAGAACCCCTAACAGTAAACTGTTTGGGGAAAAATGACATGATGACTTGACTTCTAGGACATCAAAGAAAACCTTGGACAAGTCACTGGTCTCAAATTGAACCAGAAAACTGAAACCCGTCTTGGCATGCAAGTGTCACTAAATGAAGAGCACCGGCATCATGGAGTGCGCTCAACATTTTGTGAGGTGCGAAAACAGGCCACTTCTTGTAAACAATGACTGGCTCTGGACACCCCTTCTTTTTGGGTCGCCCCTTTGGCTTGGGTACAGCGCGAAACTTTCTATGATTCCCTCGTTTTGGTTTCCTCACCGTCCTCCGCTGAATGGACATGTCCACAACAGGGACCACCACATAGGAAATAGGGCATTTGACAATCGCCTGGCAAGGATTTGCGTGAGAGATTGCGCAATCTATGCATGTACATCAACGCGACTTGTCAGGCAAACTCACAAGATTTGATTTTCAGCTGGCCATGAGCTTCCATTTTTCTGGTGTATAACATGACTCTTTCGCAAGCTGACTAAGAGGTAGCATGCTCATGTGTGATACACACACTTGGAAAGAGGAGGTTTGTGCCCAAGTCACTTCCCCGGATTTGGACAGAGCTCGATGCAATGTGTCTTCAGCGTGGGAAAGGTGCTTCCCTCCAGCCCCGATCTGGGCAGCCTTGCGAGTACCTGAGAGCCACTATGGGACTAAGGAGAAGGGAGACCTCAAGATCTTTGTTGTCACACACATGAAGGACTGGCTGGGCATATCACAAACGTGTAGCTAAGTAAAAGGGAATCAACAAAGAATTGAACAAACAAGATGCTGGCGCTGACGTTGAGAGCTCCAGCTTCTTCCACAGCAGCACTTGCAAATTTTTGAAGAAGGCTCGCAGGTCTGCCCTTCCCAATCTGCTCAGCCAATAGCCGTGTGATTGGAGAGCTCAAACTCAACCCCCCACTTGATGAAGAAGAAGGTGATGCCTCACTGCATTTTCGTTTTCTCAAAGTTCTCACCAATCGATTCAATCGCTTCATACAAATGGATGAGGAGCCAAGAGGGGCTGCAGTACTCCCTGGATGTTGCCATCGCACGACACCTGTCCAAATAGATTTGTGAAACTTGGCAGATCGTGGGCCTTACACGCGACACTCGCAATCCGACACATGAAGATGCGACCCTTTCAAAGACATGACTCGGATTCTTGAACAGACTATGTTTGCTACTATCACCAGCGCAAGAGAAGTTCACGTCCAGGGTGCAGTGATACTGCCATTTTCTCAAGCTCTGAAACGTTGATCACTGTTGGCTAACGGCTAACATATCCACTCCGAGGTTCAGGCGTGGCTTGAAGGGGGCCAGTGTATACAGAGGGCATGAAGTTCGGTATATCGGCACAATTCCCTGAGTACCACTAATATGTGATATATGACCCATACGCCTGTGGTGTAACTTGCTTTCGAAAGTTTTCCCTCCATCAAGTGGCCACATGTTCCCCGGAGTGAAGAGTGTCAATCAAATCTGGCACCTGGCGTGTGCAGTCAGGTGTTCTGACAGGAACTATATCCCCAAGAAGTGATCCCTTTCCTTCAAGATAAACAGAAACTACAACCATTCATTCGTCACTGCGTGAAAGTGAACATAGATGGAAGTTTAGTGTCCAAAGAAACCCTATATGTTTGACTTTTTACATGTCGTTGAAGCGGGATTCACTTCACCCCGCTCTTGAAAAGAACCGCCAAGGTGATCCAAACTTCACTGGATCCGATCTACTTCTTATCCGCGTCCTTCTTGGCCTTCTTCTTGGGCCGCGCAGGCGCCGCTTCGCGCTTGGCTGCTGCAATCCTCACTCGCTTGACATGGACACCCCCAAAAAGTATGTGTAGACTTAGGCTTAAACTGCTCAGGGAAACCCCAAGGAGGACACTGCAAATACACTTGGATATGCAAGCGGCAGTTGGTTCGCAGTCTTGGTGTGCTTCTTGTAGGCTTGCGCAAAGATCTTTGCCTAAACAATTCCACAGTTGGCACAGTTGGGTGTCTGCATGGTTGCTCTGACCGACACGTAAGTTTGGAAGGGTGTCTCTTGTTCTTTGGGTTGATCGGGCACAAGTAAAGCAACGCATGAAAAACATAACTGTTGGCCTAGCTGCCTTTTCAAGAATTTGTCCAAGCACGTCGAATGTGTACATGGATGGGTCAATGCTCAGAAGATCCTTGCGACACACCCCAAGTCCATCTCCAGCGTCCCGGATAAGTTTTGCCAAGTGCTCTTGGCTCTCGAACCCTTCCAACCTTAAGCGATGAACAAGTGCACGGACGGTCCCCAAAACACGTTAGCCTCTTGGTGTCATTGCTTTTGGTGAGTTCAAGTTTCAACGTGTGCACTGGCCAATTCAAAAAACAAGCAACTGGGCACTGATTGTAGCGCAGCTCCCTTGGGCACTTGCAGCCTTCGCGACCCACGCAGCCACAAACGATTTTTTGTCATCACCTTCCAGGAGGTCGCACTCGAGCTCGGAGCCCTGCGCGCAGAGGATCACTACCATGGTTGAGACTTGTCACACATCTTGGGCAAGGTCGATAAATGTCACTTTTTTGTGGAAACGGTTATACGGGAAATGGTTCACCTAGCCTTCACCTTCTCCTTTTCCTTCTTCTGTCTCTTTGGGGCAGGTTCCTCCTGGTCCAGATGCTTGGGCACAGTAGTTCCAAGTCCACTCGGGGTGTGATACCCAGGAGCACCATGACCAGTTGCAGCAACATGTCCATCCAACATCGGCCCCCCAGCAGTTTGCAACGTTGGGTTGTTGTGTTTTTGCACCCGCTGCATGAGGTCAATCGCAAGTTGCGGGTCTACTCCACACTGCACAGCAACGCTGTCCTTAGATCAGGGTAACTGTTCTATATATAGGCCCATTTACATTAGCTAGCAACAATGGACATACGACGTTGCAACGTGTAAAGTATGGCCAGAAATTGGAACCGCCTAGCTTAAATGCAGGCAAACTTCAATGGTGCGGGAGGTCCAAGACTTCTTTTGACGCCCGAAGACCAAGAAGGTCTCACAACCTGTGTTGCGGTCGGTGGAAGTCCTGACAGGGTAGAACGAGTCGGATTTGATAAATTATATATGTTTATGTATATGTATGTACGGGTCCATATGTGTATATATATATATTGATATTTGTATGGTTTTGTATAATCATTTTTGACACCCACACGGTCCCGCTGGCTTCTCCACGCCGACGGTTCACCAAATCCTGGGACTTGGCCACATCGCCCTGAAAGTGATCCAGAACCCCTGCCCAATCACAATATTCGCCAGCGTCTTTGTCTTCCATCTCGCTTTGCGCAGTGAATTTCATCACTGCTTCGACAACAGCGCCATTGCAGCCACTCGTGACAAATTTTTTGAAGCAATTCAGCTTCTGCTGTCCTCCCTGGTTCCATGCTTTCTGCACTTCTCCCGGGTTTGCTTCGGAGTAGCGCTGGAACATCTTGAATTCTCGGGGGTGTGAGGCACTGTTGTAGCGCTCTGGAACACCTGCTGCCGGCATTGGAGCGGAAATGCCCCTCTGTGTGGCAGGTGGTTTGGTGGGACGGCTGCCTGCGCTGGAGATGGTGCCGGTGGCGCCGGAGCTGGTACCGGTGTTGCCTCTGCTGCTGCTTTGGCTTGTGTGAGCTGCTTCAAAAGGTTGTCGGCTTCCTGATCGGTGTTGACCTCAAAGCCGAGTTTCCGGACTGCCTGCACCAGTGGGGAAGGTGAGTCCACATGTGGACTTGTCGGTGGGGTTGCTGCCTCAGCCCCACCGAGCGCACTGGCGAAGGCGCCGTCAATGCTTCTGCATCTGCCGCTCGTGCTGTTTGAGGCGCTGCGCTTGCGGGCATTGGTGAAGGTGCCACTGCAGGCGTTGGCGCTGTGGCCAGGCTTGTTGCTTCGGAGGGGGATGCGGCTGCTGGCAGGATATTCGCAGGGGGTTCAGGTGCAAACGTTACTCCTTTGCCTGGCACTGGTGTGGGTCGGATGCCGGAGCGCTTCAGAACTCCAGTTCGGCCGGGTGCTGCGGGTGGAGTGTCCCGGGGGTTGTTGTTGGTAAGCCATACTTGCCATTGCACTAGCTCCTCAACCAAATCTCCCTCGCCAAAGGGTAGGAATGGCTCTTTGCTCTCCGGGCCAAAGAGTTGGTCATGCTGAATGATCTGAAAGAAGGTGAACATGTCATGTTTCTCTGCACGCTGAGCCAATCTCTCCAGTTCAGTATCACTCATCTTCATCAGGTATGCCCTGTACCGGTCCTCCATAGACATAGCAGGAGTCTCCTTTGTTGCGGTCTCCATTGTTGTGGTTGGGCTTGGTACCTCAGCTGCTGCTGAATCTGGTGATGGGCTTGGCATTTGCGATGGACCAGTCGGGTACAGTTGGGAATCCCCACACTGATTGTCTGGCGGGGGTGGTGATGGCGATGGGACATGAATCACAGACGCGGCTTTGCTGTCTTGCTGGGTTTCCAAATCTGGCTCTGGAGCTGCTACACAGAGCGTTGGATCGGGCACAGCTGGAGCTGTAGGTGTTGGCGGGATTGGATCCGGCGCCACCTCAGAAATAGGTGGTGTTGGATGCACTGGAGCTGCAGCTGTCGGGACTGGATCCGGCGCCACCTCAGAGGTAGGTGTTGGATGCACGGCTGGAGCAGCTGTTGGCGGGATTGGATCCGGCGCCACCTCTGCAGAGGTTGGTGTTGGACGCACGGCTGGAGCTGCAGCTGTCGGGACTGGATCGGGCACCACCTCAGAGGTAGGTGGTGTTGGATGCACGGCTGGAGCTGCAGCTGTTGGCGGGACTGGACCCGGCGCCACCTCAGAGGTAGGTGGTGTTGGATGCACGGCTGGAGCTGCAGCTGTTGGCGGGACTGGATCCGGCGCCACCTCAGAGACAGGTGGTGTTGGATGCACGGCTGGAGCTCCACCTGTTGGCGGGACTGGATCCGGCGCCACGTCAGAGGTAGGTGGCGTTGGATGCACGGCTGTTGGCGGGACTGGATCTGGCGCCACCTCAGAGGTAGGTGGTGTTGGATGCACGGCTGTTGGTGGCGCCACCTCAGAGGTAGGTGGTGTTGGATGCACGGCTGGAGATGCAGCTGTTGGCGGGACTGGATCCGGCGCCACCTCAGAGGTAGGTGGTGTTGGATGCACGGCTTGAGCTGCAGCCGTTGGGTCTGGACGGGCGGCTAAAGCCAATAGATTAGCCGTGTGCTGCGCTAGCTGCTGCTGCAACCTCTCCCATCTCTCACCGACACAAGGTGGTGGCGGGTTGGGCACGGGTGGAGGTGGCGCAGGCGGCATGTGCAGTACTCTCATGGCTTCCCGTTCCATGGCCACCGCCCATGCCCGGCTCCCATGCTGCTGCCGCAGCTCTGCCCATTCCTCCTCGGTCACATGAACTCCAGATGGCGGATCGGGCACACCAGGTGCCATGGGCGCTGGTGTTGGATCTGGTGGTGGTGGTGCTGCTGCTGCTGCACTGACCGATGGATTCTGGCTGGTCGGTCGCTTGAAGGTTGCCCAATACTGGTCATATTTTGCACGTTGCGCTGGGGACACCACGGGTAGCACATCCACTGGCAGCTTCTCTGTCCCCTACGCCGTTTGCAAAAACAAAAACTTTGCACATGTGTTAATACAAAATAATTAGAATATATACATATATATATATATATCCATCTATCTATCTACATATATATATAAGTACTATATATATACTATATGACTGCGCACATTAACACACCATGCACTCGGTCCTGCACCTGCTTGCGAACCCTCGCAGGCCCCGCCGCTTCTGGAACTATAGACAAGTCCTAGCTTGCTAGTGCATCCATCCCCCGCTCCAAAGTGCTGGCACGATGCACGCCAGCAGGAGGCGCCCTTGCAATCACCTGTGTGGGTGTGGCCGATGAAGGGTTTTCCGACACCAGCGCTGCTGCTGATGTGTCAGCTGGAACCAATGAAGCAGCCACCCGTCCATCAGGCGTGTCATCATTGAAACTCGAAGCGCGCACTGCTGTGGATACTGTGGACCCACTGCGTTCGATTGACGGCGTCGATGGCACGGGTGATGTTGTTGGTGTAGCTGATGCCACTGAGCTTGATACCAGCGCCGGTGTCTCTGGCGCTGGCGATGATGCCGCCGATGCCGGTGAGCTTGACGGCGCCGCTGAGCTTGACAACGCATTCCTGCAGCCCCCCCGACACGTACACTTTTCCTGCACGTGCACATGTGTACGGTGTGGCGCGTGTTCCCCCAAAAAGTGTACATCCCAACACACACGAGAAAAGTGAGAAAAGTGTACATCCAAAGTTGGATATTATATATATTATATGCGTGTGTTTAAATATATATATATATATGTATGTACTATACCTGCCCGCCGCGTGTCCCCCCAAAGGTTTAGGGTTTAGGGTTTGTTCTCCTTAAGTTTTGATCAAGTTTCATCCGACTTTTGATGGTGGCCACTTGCGCAGCTGATAGGCCATCGAAGGTCATTTGCTGATCAATCTTGCGTGCCATGTCCTCAGCACCAAGGACTTGGCGCCACAAAGGTTTTGGTGTCGCTGCATGAGTACTCGCAGACAAAATTGCTGCTAGGATTCCAATAGCGCTTCTGGTGAGAGACTCTTTGGATCAGGTGGTGTGGTCTTGCTCTTCTTGGGTGCCATGATTCACCAGTGAACAATCGCTCGGGGTTCGTTTGAGCACTTCATCACATATGTGTTTTACATCGTGGTTTAACAACATGTGCATTATAGATCTCGATTGGTATTGAGTGGTATGCACAAGAAACACATCGAGTTTCAATCCGATTTCAAAAAACTCAAACTTGTAGGTTTTGGTCAAACCCATGAATTTTGACGCTTTTCGACGCATTTCGACGGATTTCGACGCATTTCGACGGCTTTTGACACTAGGGACGGTTCTAGAACAATTCACAAGATTTTTTTTCCAGATCAACATGTGTATAGTTGTTTTTGTTTTCTGTTGGAACTTCATTGATCACATCGATGTTGCAAACGGTTTGGAGTTGTGCGCAGCATGACTGCCACGGTTTTACACGCCAAAGTCTCACTAACATTTGGCGTCGGAGATCCCCAGTCTGTCATGGGGATGGATAAGCCCCTAAAACCCCAAGAAATTCACAGCGCTAGCCGTGTTGCCAGCGCATATAGTTCTTGTTTCACAAGAAACACCCCAATTCTAGTCACATCCAATCTTTGGGCCATGCCTTTGGCAGCTCCAAGGTTGAGCACTTCGCAAGATAGCTGGCCACATCATACAGGAGCGCCTGGGACAGAGGGATTGAGGTCGGAGGTGTCCCAAGCTAGGTGTCACTACATTCATCCCGTGACATTTTTGGTCGGGGCACATCGTCGTTCCAGTCCATAGGCTTAGAGAATAACATTCTGATGTTCTCCTCCTGTCAGGGATTCACACATGTGTTTATGCAGAGTTGACATTGAAAGCTCGTGTGCCAGTTGGTATTTTCTAAAGATTTGCAAACAACTGGTGATTTGACAGGGTCCTCATCATAGAAACAAGATCCATCATCGAACATCGGTGTCACCATTTTGGCGCAGCTCACACACGGCTCCTCGCAAAGAAAGGTTGTATGGAGGGGGTATAGCTTATAAATACACTAGCTACCATGACACCACAAGAATCTGGTACATTGATTGAATAGTCGCTGAGGAAGTGGTTATACCCGATTCACAGTAAGTCCTATAAACACCACCACCTGTCACAGATGCGTATAGCTCCTGGGAAGTGGATGGGCACCCAGCAAGCCAGCACTCGACGACAGCTTTTGCGAAGTCCTCGGAATATGTCCTCAGGGCCGGCATGGTTTCCAAGAACCCAATACAAGCCTGCACCAGCCCAGAACAACTTAACGCACACACAGACACATTTATGTATATCTATAGTCAAGTCTAGAAAAGGCAAATACGCTCCACTGCAGTCTATGAAAGCTTTATGCTAAATACAAGATACTTCTGTGAATAAGATCTAAACCCAATCTCTCTTATCATCTTGAAAGAACATTTGCACGTTTTGTGGACAGCTCAAAACTCCCCGGCAGACAAACGACTGAAAGGTAGGTGACACAGCTAATGTGGACGCCAAGGATCTGCGTGCTTTTGAGCTCGTGCCTCTTTCCAGTGAGCCGGATTTTTCCATCTACCTTGGCATGGAGCTGAAAGGAAATATAAGAGAAAGCACGGATGACATATCACATCGACATCAACCTTTGAAGCTCTATACGGTTCGGCAGTTGAGATCATTTGATTTTATTGGATGGCTTCACATCAAGGGTTGACGACCTTGAACCAATCTGTGAATTGTCACTGGGTGAAAAGGCCATATTCAACTGCGAGATGGTAGGACTAGGCACAACTTTCTTTTTGACCAGGGTCTTCTTCGGCTTGCTCACAGATGCGGTTGACCCTGAAGCGCAAGGCCTATACGCCTGCAACGCCTCACAGGAATCCAGCACATTTAAGAGGATTGAGCTTGCAAGAAGACCTTGCCTTGTTGACATGTCCGGTTCTGCAACGTGCGTACAAAAGACGTTACGTTGCATCAAAGTAGCTGCAAAGCGTTTGTGGTTGGCAAACAGGAAAGTCGGCTTGGTCGTCTCCGTTCCAAACCATCCCATGCAGATGGGCACCCGGTAAACCTGAATCGGTGCGTGGTCAAAATTGTTTACCAAACCATGATTACATATATAGCTGCAGCGGTATCTATCACGCATAGCTACCTACCTACCTACCTACCTATCTTTCTATCTATCCATCCGGCCATGGCAATTTTCCACTTTGGGTTCACTTTTAACAAGTGTCCTGGGGACCCGTTTTTTAGATCAAAAAACGGGTCTCCAGGTCACTTGTCAATACTTGCCATACGGCCAGCTATCTATCAATATCTATCTATCTACAGTGTCTATAGCTATCTACCTATCTATCTATCTACCTATGTATTTTTTCTATCTATCCATATCTCTATCCATCCAACCATCCACCTATCTATCTAAAGATCTACTGTATTTGGACAAATCTATCCTATCTATCTTCCCATGATCCGAACGTTCCCGTGGACCCATGGCATGGATGAGGTGAAGGCATGCAATGCCCAACAAATATCCTCTGTCAGTTCACAATATAAGATTCCGTGAGGTCACCCAGGGATCAGTCGAATGGCCGTTTAAATGATCACCCCAAAAATGGCCGCAGAAACTCCACCAAGAGAAAAGGCCCCCCCAAGTCCTGTGGAGGGGGGGGGTCCTCACATGGAGTTGGGGTTGCTTTTTTCATGGAGTTGCAGCGTTGCAGTGAGGGAGCTGTTTTTTCGGTCAGTTCAAACGTGGTTTTTGACCGTTGATTGGGCGTTTACAAGATCCAGTATAGAAGAGCAAATGCAACTCTACAAGAAAGACATGTATCTTTTTTCAAAAAAAATTAAGGGCTGTCTTTTTGCCTCCAAACACATGCTGTTTTTTTGAACCCAAGACAAGTAGCCGCACAGTCACGAATCACTTCTTTGAAGCGACGCAAAGCTGCCATTCCAGAACTGTGATGCTGTGGCTGCTCTATTAGAGAGACGATGCCCATAGCACAGCAGAGACGATACAGGAGTAGAGTCCTGCAACGGTATACCGATAACTTCATGTTGGCTTAAGGCTTAAGATTTGCTGTCACACGGGTCGTTCCACATGATAGCAAACTGCGCTGGCAACATTGCTGCCATTGCAAGAATAAATCTGTTCAGACGATGAAAAAATAATAGAACCACAAAATTAGTAGGGGTTGTCTTGTAACTACAATTATGGGGCGGTGTGATGATCATGCGAAGTCCCACACGGGCCGGAAACCTTACGCAAAGCAAGTTACACATGCACAAGCGGTAAGCCGTCAAGATCGATAGGCGTATTATTTCTTGTGATACTTGGCGGTCAAACAGTAGCCGAACTTCGCTGTGTTCAGTTTCACAACAGATAGACCGACCCGACAAGATAACGTGATGCAACGGTATAATTGTTTTCCTGCAATGGCCACTCTTATATTTACACTTGCTTAAGGTTTGCCTTAGAAACATCTATATATTAAGAACCCAATATTGGGTTGTTGTTTGAAGCGTTGTCCTTTCGCAAAGCAGCACTGAACGGCAGTCCTCACCGCTAGCAGATTGCCAACCAGCACCGATGGCACATTCGGAGGACCCTCTGGCAACAATATGCCGTGTCGGCCTGAGGTTCCTTGATTAAGGAAGGCAAAGCTTGAACCTGAGGCGCCGATGGCAAAACCCACATGTGTAAAGCTAAGCTCCGGCAAGCCACTTGGAAACATCTTAATGCTGTAAAACTGGAAGATTGTTTGATGCATTCAAGCTACACACAGGGGCAAAAACGCACAATCCTCCTGGTCGCACCCTTCTGACCAAGATCAATGCCAGCCTGGGATGCTTCACTTGGATTGACAAAATGAAAAAGCAAATGTATCCCAATGCAAGGAACAGAAAGCCAGCGCATGTAGTCAGATCCAAGTCCTCGTGGAAGCCTATGTCATACCCACGAGAAGTCATCCCCATAGATTGAACCCGCTCAACGATGGCCTCCGCGCGACGGATTCTTGAGGCTTCTGTTTCCCAGCGTTTTTTGTATAGCGTTTTTTGAAAGAAGAAGGAATGTACCAGCGTACCCTTTGTGAACACGTTGCACATTGCACCAAAACAACCACTTGACACAGGAAAGAGAAGAATGAGGTGAGGTGGAGCACGCAGACAAGGCACCATCACGCCGGCAAAAATTTCTGCAGAGTCAATGTCCCCGACATGTGGAGCCTAGCAACACATCTGGTCGGGCGCGCTATTTGTAAAAGTTGCTCAGCGATGACTATACAATGCACGAAAGTCACACGACGCCGCATGGTCATTCATCCGTGCAACCAAAAGGCCACAGAACGGTTATAGGCTAGCAGCGCAAGGATCAGGATGAGCGCTCGTGGCCTCAACACATTCATTCAGCAAGTAAGGCCGACCCCTTCTTCTTTAAAGGTTGCAAAAGTGTTTTACCTCAAGGTGAAAATGCCACACGCATAGAATCCTGCAACCCTGCAAACAAAGCCCCCGACACGCCAGCGGCCAGAAGATTGGACACGAGTGGTCTCCCCATGGCAACTAAAGGGACACGGTTAAAGCTGGTGCTTGGGCAAATGCCTTTATCCAGTCACCGAAGCCTTACAGTAAGTAGCCCCTCCACCGATCCGGCCACGAAAAGAGAGACCATGCATATATGCATGATATGTCAAAAAGCAAAATACATATCTCTGAAGATCAATATCAAAAGCTAAAGCTAAAATAGAAGACTAGCTGCACTGTCAAAATCAAAAAAAGTCAAGCGTCACAAGTGAGCAAAGCGCCTGCATTGCACAGGTTGCATGTAACTGAAAAACAATGTGGGGATGAAAGCCAATCCTTTTCCCGCTACCCATGTACACACACTTTTCCCCCTTGACACCACAGAAGATAGCAGGCTGCAGAGCTGCCCCACCAGCCCATGAGGATACGTCATGCCCCTGGGACTTAGTTCAGCTTTCGCTTCCTCTTCTCCGCGTCAGACAAAGTTGAAATCAGTGCCCTTACTTGCAGCCATGTTCATGCGCAAAAGTGAGCCACCGTGAAAGGAAGAGTATCTGGTATATAGAATGCTCACACTGTCAAGTATGCTCACGCCGAGCATCTCTCGAACCGTCGATTTCATCCAAAGAAGATTTCCAGCCTTGCAATGGGTTCAATTAACTTGCCCAGTCAGCCAAACAGCAAAAACAAAGAAACACTGCATGACCCGCTTTCAATCTACAACCCAACAACCAAGGAGCAGCGTTCGTATAGCCCATCTCTCTGGCCTTTGACATGAACTGCTGATACGCCAACCACAATGGACCACTGTCCTGACTGGCCTAAGCGCGGTCATTCTCGAGAAGCAGAGACTGCAGAGACATCACTGCAAAAGAGGCGACCACAAAGCAAGAAAAAGACATGGACAATCAGTTTTGAAAGAAGTCATCCCCATTTAAGAAGCATGCCTTCCGCTTTTTCCCCTTGTCGGCTGACTCATCAGGCATATCCTTTGAGACGCCACAAGCAAGGATTGTAAATTGCAGGAAATGGATTAGTCCATGTTTGCCACGAAAAATCACCCGCAAGAATCAAGCAACAAACTAACTCAAACAAGTAGGCGTGTGACATCTTGTCCAGGTTCGCGTTGCACATTCTCCTTGAGAGGGCTGCACGCATCTGTTCAATGCTCTTCTGAAACAGTTGATGCAATAGCGACACTAAGACATGAATCTCAGCTAGCTGCGTTGGCGTGAAATGTCTCCGCCTTCGGATTGGAACTGTGCATTGGCACCTGTGCACAATCTCTCACACAGTCTAATGTACAAGTTTGATGTGAAGTGCTTCCGACTGGAATCAGCGGCGCGCAAAAGGATTCCCGGTATGTTTACATAAAAGGGCCTCACGTAAAAAGGACAATCATTGCTTATGAAAAAGTGCATGAAGAAAGTGAACCGTCAGAAACCATTCTGAGTGGACAGCCTCTGAAACAGTCTCACCGTGACTTTCCTGCTGCACAGCTTTGATGGCACCATGCCCCGCGCGCAGACATGTGCCATGGTCGAATACAAATGCAACATTAATCTTAAGCTGTCCTGAAAAGGCGCGAACCGCACTCCAATGATCTCACCATCATCGAAGTAGTTCTTGTCGTCGACCGGGCATCCCATTTGTCGAGCGGCTTCAATGCTGAGGGTTTTCGTCTCCAAGATTCTCGTTGGTCCAAGGACTTCTTTGGTATAGCCTAAGGTGGCTGGAGAAACCCAACACATTCAAAATATGCTCCAAAACCTGAACTATATACACATAGCTCTTCCCACTCTCCAGAACACTTGACTGTCAATGCAAGCAAAGGTCCCATTCGGAAGACTGCATGGGTCGCCCCACTGATTCTCTTCTCCCATGAAGAAGCCCGTCTGAACTCCCAGAATTTGACCCCAGACTTGATAGCGGAATACCACTTCTTGTTCATAGGAAAATGCACAACTTTGCGGACTATCTCCTGAACACCATCCGGTCAGAATCAATCACGTGACTGCTGGAGACGACAAATCGACCATACCTACACATATATGTATATGTATATCTTGAATTTCAGTCCGACCCGAGCCTGTGCGCCTGCAGCTGTAGCACTGGAATCACATGTCTTTGCCGCCTGCAAGCGCTCAACAATACATGGTACAAACAAATGAAACCAAAACGCACAGTTAGGTTCATCCATCACCCATGTCCATTAGCCACAAAGTGTGAGTCTCAACTGCGCAATACAGATCATCCAAACCTTCAAAGCTTCAACCTCTCATCAAAAAATCACACACGCCTCAGCCAGACTCGCGTCACATGCGGCAGGAGCTTCCTACCGAGATCAGGGCTTCTGCAATCCAAAACACAGATATAGAACCCTCAAGTAAAAGAAAGGTTCGAACTCAGGGAAATGCCGCGTGTCATACTGCTGCATTGCATGAACCGTAGCCCAAAAGGCAACTACGGCGCCGCAAGTTCACGGTCGGCCTCATCCCCACCAACATTGACGCCAGGCTCCTGGTTTCGAGCGGAAGGCAAGTTAGAAAACAACCAAAGCTACACAGGCTAGGCACCAAAACATTTGATTACTTACAAGCACTCCTCGTGGCTCGCGTCCCTGAAAAAAGGCCCATCACCAAATTTATCACGGGGCGCCTTCAAGGTAGCGCATTCATTCACCCTTGCAAACATCTACCTGTGGGAAAACACAACTCACACATGGGACATTGCCATGGTGATAGTTGCACACGCGCCGATCACATATTTGGCATTTGCTAGTTTAGCAGGTATAGTACAAACAAATGAAATACTTCACGCAGTAGGCGATTGTACATGAACACTGATTCAAGCCAATATCTAGGAGTCGCGAAAATTCACCCACGCCTCCTCCGGCTCATCGTGAGCGCCACCTGCAGCGCTTTCCCAAAACAGCAGAAGCAACTACACAAAATTGAAAAGTCTGCGCTTTGAATAGAATAGCTGGCCTCCGTTGGCGCCATCCTTCGCAGCTTTGAATTGCTTCTTGTGCTGCGCCCACGGATCCAGTCCAGCAAGAGGGTTGACTTCTAAATCCACCAAAACCGCGGGAAGGCAGACAGGTGGCTCTAGGCAAGGGATTTGCTGAACCTTGGCAATGTGACTAGGTTTTGACTGCAACTCCCCAATCTCCTCCATTGGCAAGGTATCAAGCTGGTCCACTGTCGAACCTGCCACAGATACAACAGGCAATCAATTTGATCAAAAGTTAAAAAATGAAAACCATGAACAGGAAAAGCTTGTCCACGTGATCCACATGGTTTGTTTTGAGCGGCCTGCACGGGATGTTTTCTCAGCAGCTTGCTCAGATGGGTTGGAAGAAGGTTTTCGTTCAAACTTCTTCTTCTGCAGCTCCGGCCCCACTGCACCCTTCAACGTCTCCAGCCACATGCGATCCTGAGCGCTCTAGTGGGCGTCGCTGTCATGAAAACATTCCGTCGTGCGCAAGGCCTTAGCTAAGGCTTAGATGATGTGTTTAGAGAAACAACTGGTTCTTTGGCGAGGAATGAAACGATTGTAGAAGTGGATCTAAATCATAAACGATCCCCTATATCAATTGCGTGCTGGATTCTTTCCTTGTTCCCGAGGCCCGTTTCTTCTGCCGCACAACCCAGCATACCTGGGCCGCACACCACACCCAAAAAGTTTGATCGATCATCGGTAAAATTGAATTTAAACAATATAAGCGTGAACACCATGGGTCAATTGAGGGCAGAACCATGGACTTCAAAGCGGAAGCTTGGGCGTGACCGGTGGCAAGGTCATATTCTTGGAACTTGGACATCATGCACAACTCCAACTCTTCAACCGTCAGGATTCTCCCCGTGGCCTCGCAGGCCTCAAGTGTCCTTACATGCAGGAATCTGGTTGCAAACAACATAGGTATAGGTTTGGTACATTTTCAAATATCTACATTCTGTCGAACATTCACATGCGCTGGATCAGATTCTTCAACAGAACTGCTTCGTTCTTCTGAATGATATCGTCCCTGGAAGCCGCATCAAGATCGTCCATCTCAAGTTTGTCATCCCCGACTATCACGAAGGCGTCCTGATCCAGCAGGGTTTCAATTTCGGATGACATTACAGTACACTCTTGCATTAATTACAAATTGCAACTTACAATCAAACAACCTGGTCCTGATCACGGAACTCTGCCCACGCTGCCAGGAATTTGCCAGGGCCATCGGAGGCTTTGAATTGGGCAAGTTCTGCTTTTGGCATGGTTCCGGATCGAGCCCAACACTACGGTGCCCACACTAGATCTAACCGTGGCAAGCGTGGAGTCACGCGTGGACATCTGCTGAAATGCGCGGTTGGTCAACATTATCTTCACCCCAGATCAGAACACACAACATGTTTGGCGTTACTCGGGTCACAAAAGGGCATATACACAGCTCTGCCCCCCATGACGCGTACACCATGAATGCAAGCGCTGCACTGATGTATGTTCATACACCATGGCTTTGCAAGCGTGGTCACTCTGCGCCAAATCTTTCTTGGCGTGATTGTAGACGTGGCGCCAGGATTCAACACCAAGCTCTGCAATACACGCCTACTGCAAACCCCACATACGCGCGCGATCAACACAGATCGAGCACATGAAGCAAAACAAATTCAGGAAACGCATTCAGCCCTGTCCAAATTTGAGAACAGCTGTCATTCGAACATGACAAAACGTTCTATGTATACGCATGTGCGTATACACATCCCATACATTATATACATATAACGCGGTATGTCAATATACGACACGCGCACAAAGAAGGCTCAAACCCATAAAAATGTTCGATCGCTCAAGAAATTAATTAGCCTGCCCAATATATTACCGCAATGTTGAAACCCTTTGTTCAATCACTTTCAAATTCGCTGACTCCATCGCCATTCCGTTCCTGCACCTTACAGTTCTTCCCAGTCACGGGCTAATGAGTGTAAATTTAAGTGGACCTTCGTGTGAATTAGCTCTTGCGAGCATTGATCTAAGTGTGTGACGTCACAGAGTCCCACTGAGGGCTGTAGCGTGATCCCCGTTATTTCATTTTGGTAGCGGAGCTTCGGTTGTGAGTCTTTAAGACAGGCTGCCGTTGTACTACAGCGATTTTGTTTCCATCTTTGAACTCAACTCCCGATGCACAATCGTCATAAAAAACCAGATCTCGCGCGCATCCCTCTTGAAATCGCTGCCTACAACCTCATAGGCACCGTTCCGACCATTTTTTTTTGGTCATTCTGGCCGACCTGAGAATTTCAACGTTTAAGATCCACCAATTTTAGTCAACGTACAAAAGAGGTGCCGCGACCACAAAAATCTGGCCGTTCAGCCCTCCTGGATGTCATCCTCCAGTTGAGCGAGGTCTTCATAATGAGTCAGGTTTGCCGGCGTGTAATATTCATTACCCGCTAGTGTCACCAAAGTGATGACAATATGTCATACCGGTCATGACCATTTGGCACTATACCAGGTCGTTGCAGGCTCAACATGTTGACTCAGTCGGTTTGAGCCGAATAATTGCGCAACTCATACAAACAAGTGAACCGCTATGTCCGCACAGCCCTCTGGAGGCGGGTGGCAGAGAGAGCGCTACGGGGGACTTACTTTGGAAATATACCTGAAGAGGTGCGCCCTGACCTCATGGGGGATCTGCTCCAAATCAGCCATGCCTTCGCTACGCCACTCGCAGAGCTGTTTGCTTTCGTTAAGCAAGGCCACCCGCCGTGTTCTTTTATCCCTCAGAAGCAACTGGCGCTTTA